TAAACTAAAATAATAATAATAATAATAATAATAATAATAAAACTCAACGGCGTGCGCAAACAATATTTCATGGCTAACCTTTAATAAACCCGCAACGACCCTTGATGCGTCCGACGAGACGGAAGCGTATTGATTGACCCACATTCAAAAAAGAAAAAAGATGAAGATGAAGAGGAAATCAATGCTGGGCCCCTAGAGTTCTCCCGATACACTATTTCTCGGACAGAAATTCGCATCAAATGACGGAGTCAACGGGTCGGCTTTTCACGTCATGGTAACCCATGGCTTTCATTCAAAGTAGCCTCTAGCAACCAGGCAAGATGCCACGCCATTTGCCGTTCAAGCGAGTGAAAGAGCTGCGCATTCTTCCTCAGGATTAGTTATGTAAATCGATCTAACCAATTTTGATCTTTCAAAAGCGATCAATTATACTGAAAAACGATTCCAGGGTCAGGAAATTGAAGTTGCTAGATAAGTAGTAAACGGGAACAGAAATAGCGAACGCGGTTGACTTTACGTTGGACAGGCATATACAACGGAAGCAGAACATTCGACCTTGCGACTATCATCTACTAAACCACCAGTTTCCTAGTTGTAGACTAGTTACTTCATTCTGGCGTGGATGAATAGCAATGTAATGATAGCTCTGAAGTGAATCTAGCTGCTTCACAAGCTATGTACATGAATTCCACTATTAAGAACGAGGGCTTTATGTTCGGGTCATCTAGTCCCGTTCCCCATGTTATCACTCATGCTGTAGTAAGTGCACTGGGTAGAAGCAAAGACCTACAGTAGGTGCAAATCAAGAGAGGGATGTCTAACATGAAGATTCTCCAAAACTTATCAACGTGACTAAGAAGAAAAGGTTTGGAGGCGCCGATCCTGGTAATGTGGATGGAAATTTACTCATGACATAATTCATACTATGACCAATTGCTGTTTATGTGAAATCCCTGCTTTTGTTGACTATCTAGCAGCGACTGAAGAGACGCAAAGGCCACTATGGAAACAGTGAAATCTATGTCCGAGATAATGGCACGCGGTTCATTTCCTGAGCTAAGGTCATATATGTGGTTGTATATTCAAAGCACCAGTAGATAGCGTTTACACGAAGCAGTGGTATGTTCGTAATTTGCCGACCAAAAGTTCTAGCAGGCAGAAATTGGTGCATAGTTTAACCACGCTTGATAACAGGAACTATAAGTTTACCGCCGAGTAAAATTCTATTCGTGCCAGAGAGAAGATTCTCTGGCCTGTCCGGACCGACATGGCGCATAGGAGGAATAATCTCCTCCTCGTCGCTGGCACGCAATGCAATAGCGAGCCTGTGACCCGGTTCAATAATAATGGAGGTTGGTGGAATCGGAATTTTGACATCGTAATACTCGTTCTTCTCAATCAGTGCCGGCTTCATTTGATCTAAGATTGGCTTCTCTGAGGTTGATGTGTTACACAGCCTTCGGTGAGACAGACGGAACCAGCTTCGAACAAAGGACACGGCAGGCTCGTCGTGGTTGCCGCGAAAAACGAGCTTCTTGCCCTCTGGATCAATGACATGGAAGTAAACAAAGATGTCCATCTCCTGCGCGTCGGTGGATACAGTCAGTTCGAGGAAAGGGTAACCTAAGATCTCAAAGTTCTCCTTCATAGGCGCAGTCTCAAAGAAAGCCTTGCCTGATAGGCCGGAATACGTAATCGCTTCATTTTTGGAGGAAGGACTGTATTGCTCGAAAGACAGCGTCTCGTTTAGAGCCAGATAGAGAGGCGTGTAGGTGGCGTCTTTCGGTGGCCAGGATCTCTCCGTCCGATAGAAGTAGTGCGTACCTCGGCGGATAAGTAGGTCAATTCGAGGGGAATATTCTAGCCTGTTTTCCGTCTTGCCTTTGAGAAAGTAGTCAAGGAACTTAAGTTGTCTCTCGATCTGTACGGGGTCATAGTAAGCAGCCAGATGATTACCAGTATGCATCTCAAGAAATTTCCATTCTGAAGATGCCCTCTCGAATGAGGTTGGATTTCCAGGAAGATGCACCTCAGAGTCCATCCAGTTACCTGCAGTGAGGATTGGAACCTTAATCTTAGACAAATCTCTAGTGCGGTCAAACACAGGCCAAGGACCCTCGCTACGCCAGATCCAGTGACGGGCGAGGGTTTCGTAGTCAAAATGCTGCTTGAACAACTGCTCATCACTGAGACCTTCAATTTTTCCGTACTGTTGAGGAACGATGATGTTGTTGAACCAATGCTTCTGGAATCCAGAATGCCACAGGCCACCTTATCGGCACACATCTCTGTATAGATCCGTCAAGGCCTCATATGGAACGATAGCTGCGAGATGGGGTGGTTGATGCATCGCTGCCCAGTAACAGGACATGCCAAAGTAACTGATACCACACATGGCGACCTTGCCATTTGACCATTCCTGGGTACCAGCCCATTGAACTATATCATACGCGTCTGTATCACGTGGAGTCAACATGTTGCACATTTGATTAAAAGGGGTATACGCACCATTTCCTTCAGAGTCATCACCGATGAGGTCTGTCCGACCAATGCCGAAGGGATCAAGGACGCCAGGGCTACCACCTGACCCTCGGACGTCGCATCTTACGAGAGCATAACTATGATCCTTGCACTAAAAAGACATACAATATTAGCCATCAGACTAAGTCATTCTGTTCACAGCATAATCACTCACCCAAATGACTGGGTCCGGAGTTTCAAAGCATGCATCTGGCCCGAGTGGCTCAATAGCCTTAGCCATGTTTGAATACATGTCAGTGTGAGGCAGGCCAAATTCAGAGAAGTGAATGTCCTTGCCATAAGGACCCAAAGTGAGAAGGACGGGGAACTTCTCAGGATTGTCGCGCAAGGGCAAGTAAACGTTGCAGCAGATCACAGAGTCATCTCTGGTGGGAATGTAAATGTCCTTGATGCGCTTGTAGCCGTCACGAATATCCTCTTCCGTCTTGCGCCGAGGGACAGCTTGGAAATCCTTTGGATGCGGGAAAGACATGAATGGTATCAGATCCTGTTTAATGGCGAAGATAAATGTAAAAAGAGCTGTAGAAGGGCTCAAGATGTAAGCTGGTCTGGATTATTATGTAGGTGGATAAACATTATGCAACCACCATCGGCAAGATACACGGGCGGAACACCCGCGTTGCCCCGCAAAATGCCGTCATCAGGGCCTCTTTCAGTTTAAATCGTTGAGACTCTAACTTGATCGTTTATATCAATGCACATGTGATTGTCTGAGATCATGTACTTGATTACTCTTAATATCTCCCTCCCTTAACCGGTGAATTTCACACATCTCTTCTACAATGTCATCTGACCAGCCTATTATCCTCAAGCAGATCGCTTGACTGCGTCGAAAGTCCAACCTGACGCGTAAGAATCTCTTCGACTATCACTTTCGCATCCATGGGTCCCCAATCTCGACATCAATAGCATAAGTGAATATTTGGGCATGTTTGAGAGGTGAAGCAACGACTGCCTCTGTACTCTGTCGCTGGTCGTTGTAAGTGGCCGCGGGTACACTCCGGATAGGAAAGCTTTTCTTTGCGAGCGGTGGTATGTAGCTCGCACCTTGCAGCTCTAAGGCAAATGAGTTGCAGGGTATTGCAGCTAGGGTTAGAGCGATGAAGCTATAATCTATTTGCTAATACATCTTGAGCGCGGGGAATTGCATAGCAAGGGTGAAGACGATAATAGGATGAGAGAGAAGGAGAGGGTGTCCAATGCATAAAGCGCTCTCGATATTGCTTTTGACAATTGAGCACTAATAGCGCCTTACAGAACTATGATATTGGTATAACTAGTAAGAACTAATACATAATGGATTATGCTTTATGGAGATTTCGGAACATCTGGAGGCCGAGATATTTTGCTGATTGTATTTGGAACATCGACGGAAGAGTGAACTCTAATCATATGGTGCTCCTCCAGTAAGTCCCGGCGGAGGGCAGCTGGCTATACCACTGGTATGGTGAAGTGGGGCGATGCCGATATCTTTTCGGCAAAGCGTCGGCTGTTCGCCAACCTTTTGCATCCGGGCATAGCTGCGCAGAACGCGGCTGAAATCGAGTAGGAATCAAACAAACAAGCAAACAGTACTTCCCGATTAATGATGATGACATATAAGATTGCTTGGAGAGTTGCGCATATTCTGTACGCCAGAGTACTTTTGCGCCGTCAAAGACTGTGTTCATTTCCAGCTATCTTCTCAGCCTACACTTGGCAAATCCTTAATCCCCTTCTTCTCCCCCTCCTGCTTAACCAAAAACTTATATTGATCCTTCCGGTCCAAATACACCACCTTCGCACCCAACCCCGCCTTCTCAACCTCCTTCTTGAAGTCATCCAGCGGGCTCATGAAAAGATCATAATCATCATAATGAATCGGAATCGTCACATCCGGGTTAATGAGGTGCATCAACTCGACGCCCTGCTTCGCATCCATAGTAACCATCAACAACGGCATACTGGGTCCCGGAATCGTAGTCCCGCCCAAATGAACGAGCATGAGATCGATATCCATCCCTTCATAGCGCTGTGGTATTTCCTTGAGCTCGTCGACGAGAAGGGTGTCCCCGGTGATGTACACCATGTACCCGCTTGCGAAATCATCCGCGCTTGATGACGGTGGAGATGAATAGCCGAGCTCGATCATCCATCCGTTTGTCGGGGGTACGGCGCCGAGGATCTCGTTGGCCGCGTTGAGAGGACCCGGGGGAACGTGTTTTCCCGGCATGCCGGTTATTTTCAGACTTGGTGTTGTACTTATCGTGCCAGTCTTGGGGTGCACGTCGACAATTAGGCTGTCCCAGAAGTTGAGCGCGTGCACATTGGTAAACGAGTCCGCGCCTTTGTTCGTGAGACAGCTGTGGGCGTGGGGCGTGGTGATGATCGGAATATCACGGGACAGCTTGTCTTCGACGAGCCGGTCGAAGTGGTCTTCATGATAATGTGAAAGCAGTATGGCATCGATGTGCGGCAGCTCTTCGATGTCGATGGCGGGATTGGTGCGCCGGGTTGCGCTGACGCCGGGGCCGAGGTGCACGTGATCGCCTGCGTGGAGAAAGTTGGGGTCAGTGAGAATGCGCAGGCCTTCCCATTCTAGGATCGTGGTTGCGGTGCCGACGAAGAAGAGGGAGGCGTTTGTTGAGGCGTCTGGCGCGTTTGCTGGGTGGATTCTTGTTCCTTGGGCTTCTGGGAGGGCGGCGGGGACGGATCGGCTGTCTTTTAAGGGCTTGACTCCGGACCCGGGGGTGAGTTGAAGGTGCTTCATGGTTGCGGATGCTTAGAAATGGTATATATGGATTCTTGAACGCTGTGTTACGGGTTCAAGTCGGCGAACTTGGAGTTGATGTCTGCTGGACTTACGCACGCGCAGAGTAGTATGAATTGTAGAGAGGAGGAAATGGGCAGAAGATGAAGAAGAGAAAGCACAACTGTTGCACAAATAGAGGCATGTCCTGAGCCATGTTGACGATTAATGACGACAGCAACCCTAAGTTAGCACGGGCCATACCCACGAACATCAACTCTCCCCCCTAGTCTATCCAATAACTCACGCTATATAAGTCGCATGATAAAAGATTTTAGTGCATGAAACGCGTACGAGATTTCCACATTTAACGTGAAAGTTGCATCTATTTAAACATTGTTATAACGGTATTCAAAGTGATATTTCGGGTGTAGACTGTAGAGCAGCATTTACAACAATTATCTACTTCACTTTAGGGTAAGGTGTCCGACGAGTTTCCGTTGAACACGTTGCTAGTGCCATCGAAACAGAGAACAAGCTTCCTCGGGGTGCGCGTACCGGCCTCCGCATCCTTTTCATTAGTATAATGAGGCATAATAGTATACGTTACGATATCGAAATATCGAAAATGAAGACTGTCAGTCTAGAGAAGGTAGAAAAAGGTTGAAGTTTGGAAGATTGAAGCGATACTGTTTTGTGAAACACAGTATGAAAAATTGATAGTTTCTTTAGTAAGATTTTACAAAAACAAATAGCATAAAACAGTGCGTTAATTTTGAATCAAGTTGGAGAAGCTTAGATGAGTAGTAGCATGTGTATTGCAAAAAGATTTAGGTGACTTAGAATCTCATTCTAAGCTCACGTGCCCACATGTGGGCACGACAGTGGGAAGGATGCTGAGTCCGAAGTTGTTTGGAGAAAAACAGATATTACCGTGCTCCCGCATATTAAACTACATACTTTTTTTCAGATAAATGAATCTCGGCAATCTTAAAACTAGTCTGATTGGTCGATATAGCATGAACAGGCGGTGAGACAGCACCTGTGTACGGACGATTTTGGAACGAAAGGTTGAAGAAGTAAACTGGTGGGTAACTACCATCAAAAGAACATCAATTACCCACCATCCCTACCACCATCTTTCGTTATTAAACGGGAAGGGCCGGTCCGAGCCTTGTTGAGAGGGATTGCCGTCGTGGCTCCCCTCAGATGCCGCCTGGGCGTTATAACTTCACCGCCAGAATTCGGCGGGGGGTTTTTTTTTGGCGGGGTAAGCTGCGAAAGGATCACTAAAAGAAGCAGGTAGTGCATGACGATGATTCGACCGGACCCTGCGTCGGGTAGAGCAATCAAATATTAACTTTTTTCGCGTTGGCAAGGCAGGCGAGGGTCCCGTCAGCCCCATGACTGGACCCTATTTCTACATTCTGCCTAGTCTCAAGCTGCGACTACTACATTCCGTTCTTACGTAACCTATTAATGAATGTAGTTACGGATTGAGGATACCTGTATGTGACTGAGCGCCATGGGATTGTGTATAAGAGTCCGCTATTCCATGCATCTTGTCCTTATCCAAATCACTCTGGATTCTCAATCACCTTTTTTGCATTATGGTTGTCAACAATTTGGAGCTCGGTGTGGCTGCGCTTGCCAGTGCAGCAACAGTTGTACTGTATAATTACTCCGGTGACATCGCCAAAGCCACAGCACCGGATCACAAGTATCAGGCAGGCGAAGACTATCATAGCGAGAAAAAGAAGGCCAAGAACTTCTTTGCCGACCCAAAAGCGATTACTGCCGCTCTTCTCCGTGACTATGCTTCAGTCCGGAGTAAGATCAAGCCTCACGAACTTCTACCCATCGTTCAGGATCTTCTTAAGAAGGGCGAGCCCATCGATGATAAGGCTGGGTCGACAGAGAAGCTGATCCACGTCCTTACTACGTTACCTGAAGGGTCACAAACGAGAATCAACCTGACCAACAAACTGATTGACACTCTATGGGACAACCTTCAGCATCCCCCATTGAGCTACATGGGCGGTTCCCTCAAAGTTAAGATTGAGGGAGACAAGACAGAAGTGAGGTTGACCGACACCATCACGTACAAGTCACCTGAGAATGGTGTGGAAATCACAGAGACGATGCCCCTGCGGCCACATGCCATGCACCAGTACCGAACCCCCGACGGGAGCTACAACAACATCCTAAGCCCTGATCTTGGTCGCGCAGGTACTCCATACGCGAAGTCGGTGCTAACATCAAAAAAACTTCATGGAGTAAAACCGGATCCAGGGCTTCTCTTCGACTTGCTCATGGCTCGTGAGGAAGGCACTTTCAAAGAGAACCCCGCGGGTATCTCATCGATATTGTTCTACCATGCGTCCATCATCATTCACGACATTTTCAGGACCAACAGAACGAACATGAATATATCAGACACATCTTCGTACCTCGACTTGGCGCCACTTTATGGCTCTAGTCTTGCAGACCAGCTGGAGATCCGTACAATGAAGGAAGGCAAGCTGAAGCCTGACACTTTCCACGAGAAGCGCCTGTTGGGCCAACCCCCAGGTGTCAACGTTATGCTCATCATGTACAGTAAGTTTTCGACGTATCAAAGATTCATGTGAAACAAATACACTGACTTGGTAATTCCACCTCTACAGACAGATTTCATAACTATGTGGCCGAAATCCTTCTGAAAATTAACGAGAATGGGCGATTTACTTTGGCGAAATTCGAAAATCCATCGCCTGAAGACATTGCCAGAGCTGTGGCTAAACAGGATCACGATTTGTTCAACACTGCTAGACTGATTGTTGGCGGTCTCTACATCAATATCTGCCTTCACGACTATCTCCGTGCTATCACTAACACACATCACTCTGACAGTAATTGGACTTTGGATCCTCGCGTTGACATTGACAAGCACTTTGACCCTAATGGCGCTCCGCGTGGCATTGGAAACCAAGTCAGTGTCGAGTTTAATCTGCTCTACCGTTTCCACTCCTGCATTTCCAAGAGAGACGAGAAGTGGACCGAAGACTTCTTCCAATCAGAGTTCCCAGGAAAAACTATAGACGAAATCAACAAGCTTGACTTATACGAGTTGTTAGGTGGTTTGCAAAAGTTCTTCGGCAATGTGAATCCAGACCCAAGTAAGCGAGAGTTCGGCGGTCTGCGAAGACAAGAAAACGGCATGTTCAATGATGAAGAACTTGTCAGAGTGATGAAGGAAGGCATGGAAGATCCAGCAGGATGTTTCGGCGCCCGCAATGTCCCCAAGGCTCTTCGCGTGGTTGAGATTCTGGGCATTGTGCAAGGGCGGAAATGGCAAGTTGCAAGCCTCAACGAATTCAGGGAATTCTTTGGGCTCAAGCGCCATGCCACATTCTCGGACATCAATTCCGATAAGGATATCGCCAGCGTGCTAGAGAAGCTATATACCCATCCGGATATGGTAGAGATGTATCCTGGCATCATGATTGAGAACCACAAACCGGCTATGGATCCAGGCTGTGGCATTTGCCCTACGTATTCTGTCGGCCGAGCCGTTCTCTCTGATGCAATTACCTTGGTCCGTTCTGATAGATTCAACACTCTGGACTATACCGTTAGCAATCTCACGGCATGGGGTTACAACGAGGTCCAACAGGACTACAAAACTTTGGGCGGCTCCTTGTTCTACAAACTCATCCAACGTGCATTGCCAGGCTGGTTCCCGTTTAACTCACTGCATGTCATGCAGCCCATGTACACTAAGAAAGCGAATGAGGCTATTGCAAAAGAGATTGGTACCATCAGTCTCTACACAGAGGCTGATCCCAAGCCTCCACGACCCGTTCATGTGCTCGCTGAAGGAATTTCTGTTAGAGAAGTCCTGCACGATGAACGATTCGTCGTGCCTTGGCTTCCTGCTGTTAATGATCTCTTCCCAGGCTCAGGCAAAGACTTTAGTTGGTTTATGCTTGCTGGTGATAAGCCTGAGAATGCTGCACAGAAGCGCATGGTACAAGAAGTCTTCCATAGCATACCAGGATTTGAAGCCGCCATCTCGAGCTTTGTCGCTGAAGTGGGCTCCAAACTTCTAGCCAAGGAAACCTTCAAAATGAAGGAAGGCCTGAACCAGATCGACATCATCCGCGACATTGCAATTCCAATGAATGCCCAGTTGCTTTCAGATATCTTTTACCTCGACCTCCGTACTGATGAGAACAAGAGCGGCTCGCTATCGACAGCTGAGTTCTACAAGCATCTACTCAATATCCGTATATGGGGCGTGAACAACAACGATCCCGCAATGGCTTGGAACCGGCGGCGATGGGCCCAAGAAGGTGCCGCCATCATGACTAAATCAGGGCGCGATCTGGTCCGAGATGTAGCAAACGAGAAGGGGGCCTCGGGTTTTGCTGGCTATCTTGCCTCTGCAATCTCGGACAAGCACAAATCTCGAAGCTCTGAAATCAAGCAAAATTCCCTTCGCTCGTGTGGGCACAAGATTGTGCAGGGCTTCCTTTCCAAAAGCATAAGTCCGGAGAAGACAGCCGATATTTGCTGGTTGACGGCCTTTGGCGGAATTGGTGTACCGGTTACAACAGTAAGTTTGTCCAAGCAATCAAGCAGAATTGTGCAGCTAACGGATGGGCTAGCTTTGTGAGATTATGCAATTCTTCCTCAATGAGAATAACAAAAAGCACTGGTCTCAGGTGCAGTCAATCGCAGCGGCCGGTGATGATCAGACGCTACGTTTGTACACGCTCGAGGCCATGCGCCTGACAACGGCACAGCGCAATCTTCGCATTGCGACACAACCTGCGATGATTGATGGGAAAGACATCAAGCCCGGCGACGCCGTTTTGCTACTTCTTGGTCAGGCTGGACGGGACCCAAGCGTTGTACAAGATGCCGACAAATTTATCCCAACCCGCAAGCAGGATGGCCTGATTACACCTTTCAGTACCGGTCCTCACGACTGTGTAGGTCGCCAGATTGCCATGAATTTCATCGTTGGCATGGTGAAGCTATTTGCTGGACTAAAAGATCTACGGCCTGCTCCAGGACAAATGGGAATAGTCAAGACTATTCAGGTTGGCACAGAGAGATGCTATCTCAATGACAGTTGGAGTTGGCTTTCCTTCGATGCATCCAGTAAGTCTTATCCATCTCGACTTCGAGCCTCGAGCTTTAAAGCCTTCTAAATACATTCGGTTGGTTAACAATACTTCTAGCCTGGAAGCTTCATTTCAGTGGGCATGGTAAAGGTTCCTTCAAGGCCCCACCGGCGCACATCGGTGAGAATCTTGAACTCAGCCAAATAGAGGCAATTCTGGGCAAAAACAAGGACGAAAAAAATCTCATAGATTAAAGTAGAGATATTTGTCGGGGTCAGGGCCAATGCTGGCTTTGTTCTGCATACGGCTAAACGACCACATATTGGACTCTTTAGGATTTAGACCGTGCAGCCAACGCAGCGTGTCTATAGAGAGGATTTATGTCAGTGCAACAAACAGTGATTAATTCTCCTCTTCATGCTGTTTTCTATCCTCGGAGTCATCGTACAAGAGTGATAGATAGTTGTAGATGTGTTCGCCATGATGCGTCTCCTAAGTCAAAGTCGCATCAACTTGCTCGGTATCAATAGCACGTTGCATGGTAGGCCCATATCTCACCGTTGATACTGCTGAGAGCAATATCACAATTATATTTACAGGGTAAGTGAGGTATTTGTTGCGATTCAAAATTCCTATCACGTGTCTTTTCTACCAACTTTATAGTACTATCATAAGACCGCCTATACCAGCCCTGCGATTGGTACATCAATGCCGGTGCTTAGGTACCTATTTATCACTGTTATGCCATTGTAGTCCTGTGTCAGCTATTGGCTCTATAGGACTTCAGCCGACGGCCATTCTATCTATTTATTCGCAATTTAGTACTTTATGCTGTGTGTTACCTGAAACAGCAAGAAGTATCTTCTCCCCGGGTATAACAATAGAAAGATAGGAAACCACTTAGGGTCCTAATCGGAAGGATGATGATCGCGGGGCGAAATCACGTAACCTAGCAACCCGCCAAAGCATAGCCTCTAGAAGGCTATAGTAGAAAGAGAGGCCAACGTCCTCCCAAACCTCCCGCTAAGACAGGAGGTTAGGGAAGACAGGATTAAAGGCAATCAAGTTATAAGATTTGGGGAGCTTCGCGGACAAGAACTAAATATTCAGTTAGAGTGAATTAAGACGAATCATTAAGGAGTACTTAGGGTTTGAGCGAGTTTATATACTCTATACACGTGACTAAGGCTGCCCTGGCCTAAGGGGTACCAGACAGATCCCTGAGAGTCGTCCTCTGGCTCCTAATATCGCGACATATTATTATTATTCCATTATAGTCCTGTATCAGCCGTTGGCTATGTAGGACTTTGGCCAAAGGCCGTTCTATCTAACTAGTTACGATTTGGTACGTTGTGCTGTATTGCGTGACTATGGTGCTTCGGCCT